TTATGCACAATTCCTGGTTTTCCAGGAGGAAGTTTGGTTGGGCGAGCAGCGACTCTCCCCAGTTGACATTTCCGCTTCTGGGGGTTCCAAAATGGGTTCTTGGAGTGAACACTCCACGCTTGCTTTGTTTAGGCGAGGCCGTTGCGGAGGGTGCTTCCCTTTCATAGAGGGGTCTGTTCGCTGGTTTCTCCTTACTTTTACGTAAGGCTTCCTCCGCAAACTCCCTCATTTCAGTTTGCCTCTTCATTATCTCGGAGACCTCCTCCGAAGTTGGTGACCTTGCCTTGTCTGGCATGGTGTGTGGGAGTGTAAACAGCGGAAGTTCTTTTGGAGCTTCCACGCTCTGGGAGATCCTGCTCTCAGGGCGTATTTTCGCGCCTTCTTGGGCTTTCAGCCTGAGAAGAAGTTGATCTTCACTTTCCATCCTCCATTCAGACGGAACCTGGAACAAGTCCAGTAGTTTTTCGGATAGCCATCGCGGGGGCTCTTCCCTTTGTTTCCCTTTGTCTGCCTTTGGGGCTTGACTTGGGGACGTGAGGGGGGACTCCAGGGGATAGTGGGGCCTTGGAGTTTCCTGCGACTCTATCTGATCAGCTTTTTGGGCTGATCGTTCAGCGCTTACGCATTTTTCGTGCAAGTCAATCACCTCGTGAGGAGGTGATGGATCTTCCCCAGCTTGGGTTAGATCGGTATGTTGTGGAGTTCTGGGGGTATTTTGCCCCGCACTTACTCCATGTAAGTTTCTGAAGCCTTCAGGGACCAGCCCTGAGGTGGTTGTTATTGCCGGATCATGTTGATCCTCGTCGTCGTCTGATGATGGCTTTTGGTTTGAATCTCCCTTGATGGGAGATTGCGGTTTCTTTATAAACCGCTCGTTTCTTTTTAGTGTCGCTGCAGATGCGACCTTGCCCTTGCAGGCGTGTTTAGGCGCCATAGGCGCTTCCGAGTCAGATGTTAAGATTATAGAGATGTGGGTTGTGTTGTAAAGCACACCTCAAGCACTTAAAAAAGTGTGAGGTCTTAGGGTTGCTCAGCACACAAGGCCGTAAGTGATACAAGATAGTGTATTTTATGGTGGTGTGTAAGCGGTTACCCGGAGGTTCCCGCTTGCCCACGTGACTATGTGTATCTAATTTACATGTGACTCGGGGTTCGGGGCTATTGCCCTGACACACTGGGACGAGGCAGTGTAGTACTTTATCAAATACCCGGCTTCCAGTGACTAGCTGAACAAATGCGCGTTCCTAGGATTCCAAAAGAATTGCAAAAGGATAAAAAGGATATAGATGCTCTGGGAAGCTGCGTGCCCGATTTTGGATAAGGAACACAATTCGTTGACTATTTAGGAAACAGTAATGTTTTTGCAATAATTATGTGACCCTTTTGGCTCGTCATCCAAATCGGATGCGCAGAGTTTTTTTGTCCCCCCAACTGCAAGCCAGCAAACGGAATGGGGCGTTCAGTAAGCAGGGGAACGGTATCAAGGATGTGAGATGTATTCAAGTCATTCTTCTTTACCTAGAAAGGTAACAAGAGTAAAATCCCATCGCGCCCTCTTGGAATGAGTTGCTGAATGTGATATGCATTAGCATGGCCTTGAGCCGAAGTACTTACATAAATAGGTTTCCAAGGAACCATCAGGGAGAACTCAAAAGCCACAGGAGTACAATTTGTTCAGTTGGTGCGGTGCTAGAAATCCCTTGATGGAGGCGATAAGTCGGCGATACAATTCTAAAATGTAGTCGGTTCGCTGGGGGGGGTGCTGAACCCATCGCACCAAGTTATTGTTGGAGGAACCGTGTGCTATGGGAGGCCGGACGAGTTTCCGTACAGCCACATTCCTACATCCGAGCGAGGAACTCGCCCGGACAGCCACATTCCCGCGGTAGCGTGACTACTTGGTCACAACACCTTTTCTTCTTACTTATTTTGGTTACTTCGGACTTATCCGCGAAGTCCACAAACTATATTCAATCTTTTGAATTAGTTTCCCTTTTCCTCAGTTCTCGCGCATATAGTGAGACTGAGGTTAGTTGTCTTTCTTTCTTTCTTATATCTTATAACTCATTGTATATTACCTTATAGCTTTACTACTAGGTAATATAATAGTTCTCGCGCATATAGTGAGACTGAGCTTTACTACTAGAGCAAGCGGTTATTCCGTTAGTTATCTCAGCAGACTTTCTAGAATCACTCGAGTTAGAAAGGACAGAATAAGAAAGGCAAACTGCCGTTATAACATGGAACATGGGTAATTGCCCAGAGATCGTTCGAGCACCATGAAAACCAGTCCAACCACCGCAAACTGAATCATGACTGACCGATAGAAACCTAAGAGAGAACGCTCCCCAGATGGTGAGACTAGGTAGTGAGGTAGCGTTGACTGATTTTTTTCGGTTTGTGCGTTGTTATACTGGTCAGAGTCTGGGTCGTAATCGGATTTTAAATCTTTCTGCAAAAGGATCATGTCGACCACAACCCAAAGATGAATTAGTGGAGAGAAATTTGAAAGTCGCAGTACTCAGATTCCTAAATAGCTAAGGCATAGTATGGCAGTGCGTTGTACAACATGCCCTGCCGACCGCCTCTTGTTGGAAAGCAGCAGGAGTCAATAGAGGGTCGGCGAAACACGAAACACTCATGCCAGATCACCATCCAGAATGGTGCTGTATCCATTACCACCGAGATAAAACTAGAGCATTGTCTCCATTTCGCAATGCCGAGGTCAGGGAACACCCGCTTGTGGCTGTTCAGTCGTCAAGAGGTTTGATTCAGTGACCACCGTTTTGACTCTTTCTCCGAGGGACCAAGTCTTCGGTCTTGGATTGGCTGTCTTCCTTTTCCCGCGGCAGTAAAGGTCGCTTTTCGCTCAACTCAGATCTTCAATTGACGCTGTGTTTTTTACGCTCTGCAACGATCATTCATATTATGGCATTTCACGAAAAAAATGCGGGCAAAGTTTCTGTGCATGTGCGTCAACGTTCATTCCTATCGCTTGCACCGTTACACCTACACATGACATTCTGGGGTTGGAATAGGGTTACTGGCGGGACAGAGCTTGCGAAGCGCGGGGCCCAAGACTAGTCGTAGTCGACCCATTTCACTAGACCGAGCGTAAGAGAAGCTGGATGGTGCTCCATTTGTCATGTGGCGTTTTCGTGTCTCAATCCTTTGCACAGCGATGGCAAGTCATGGTGTTCGGCTTTTCCGATTTTGGCTCAACTCAGGAGTAACCGTCAGAGGATAAGGATCAGGCCTTTCATGGGAAGCGAATGTATTATTTGCAAATGATCCGCTCGTCATCCTGAATTGCAGAAACTGCAGCCAGCTGGTTCACTATACCGGGGTTTCTCCCGGAGACAGTGGAGGGATCTACGCCATGACCTTCTACTGCTTTCCATGTGAACATAATCAGCCAAGTTTCGAATCTGAGGCACAACCACCCTCGAGTCTGTTACACGAACTCCGGGCTGAGGAGAGTTTCCCCATGGTTCGTAATTCGACAATTGCCGAGGTCATTGCGATCCTTCGTAGCATCTGAGGATAAGCTGGATAAGCCAGTGTTGTTCAATTGAAGACATAAGAAAAAGACGTGGCGCAAGGACTTTGAACGAGAGCAATGACCATGAGGGCACGGACGTACGCAGATATCAAACACGGGAAGCAGTGTACGGATGTGGCAGATATAACGCTTCATTAGACATGTAGCTGATATGGGACCCCAAATGTGAGAAAGAGTCCTAAAGATTGGTCAATCGATACAACACTAGTTATTGAGAACGAATAACTTTTTTATTGGCGATACCGATGCCAACCAGAAGTTCGGCACGTTTGCACAGAGATCAACCCCAGCTCTGATGGGCGCATTGGTGCGTAAGGGACAAATTCGACCAACTAGCACTAGGACTTCCAGGCAGGAAGCGAAGCAAGCCTCTCATGTTCGGAATATCTGAGTTCTCGTGAAAATACCGTGTAGGCGTGCACATGCATGCAATCTTACAAAGAAGGCATCAGATTGGCATTCATTAGGGCATGTGCAATTAAAATGGCTGGTGCAAGTGCATGCATTGGTGCTGAAGCAGTGTCGAGACAGGCTCTAAGTTTAGTTCGCGCAGTGATACAATGGCGAACCCTCACGCAACGGCACCGAGCTACCTTGTGCTTTGGACCGATGGTGATGATCTTTGAGTGATTCAGCGCCCAATACCATTCCATGTAATTGAAATTCGCAATGAGTTCGGTTCTCAATCGTCAAAGCAGATGGCTACGGCGCGGCCGGGCTCCCTCTGCACTACATTCGACCACCCAAAGGAAACAGCTGAATCCATCCGCTCACCGCCCCCACTGCAAACAGGTATCTGCTACGCGAGTCCTCGATGAAGTGTAAATCCCAAGTGATTATTTGTCCCGGTCAGTAAAAAAGCAGAGTGTCATCGAGGGACAAAGATTACTACAGCGAAGCATTCCAGTGGAGACCGTGCAATCACTTTATGCAAAGATAGGACCAAAATGTTCAAAACTCTATGTCACGGAAAATAGGTCGCAGAGGGGAAAGGGACAGCCTGAGCAATATGGGACGAGCACCCGATGAAGGATTTCCCATGTATGGCAAAAGACTACACGCCTCATATGCACTATCGCAAAAATGGACGACGTATCCGTTGCAGCCAGAATTAGCCGCCGCTCCCCAGGTAGTGAGGTTATACTCCCGATGGTATCTGAGCCAAATCAGATCAGAAAAGTGCCCTAGATGTGTTAAGCTACCACGAAATAGAAACGCATTCGAGTACGAGCCTAGGAGGGTTGGAAAAAGGCCTGAGACGTATCCGATGTCCTCCAGACTGTATGATAGCACCGTGATCAGGTCTGATAGTTGGAAACAAGCCGCCCATGATACTGAACACGTTCTTTCCGTCAGCCGTAAGAATTCGAACAGCTGTGTGTTCTAGCTGGTGCCTCCCTGTGATCCCAGTAAGCAAGGAAGAGTTGCGATCCACCAACAATATCGCCTTACTCATTTCCTACAATGCACGTTGTCTTAGGCGGGGGGTCAGCCCATGCAGCCATAACAATCGCCTCCGGCAAAACCAACGTCAAAAATCATTCGAAGGTTACGAGATTCAAATCGGAACAACCAAGCCGAGTATTGCTTAGGCACATCTGGATGGATTGCTGTCCATACGCAAGCGAATATCATAAGGAGGCAGCTGTACACCATGCTCCACATCGTCCTGCAGTTGCGCAGGTCGTCACACGCATCCGAGTGGTTCATGGGGAAAGTTGTACTGTTGGGTGGGGGATGTTGAGAGATAGGTGCAGCATAAATGCCTTGGGTGGGGATAAAGCTGACGAGAGTGGCCGCCATTGTAACGAAGATGATGCAGGTACAATGAAGATTTGGACACCCAGCTTGTGAGCTTTATACCCCAGCGGGACAAGGCAGTACAATGCTTCATTGGACACACGGCTTCCAGTGTCCGAATAAACATATTCGCACATACTGCAAGGCCAGGGGAGCAGGCGATAGAAGCAACGTCGTTGTAGTTGATCGGAGTTCCAATCCGAACCAACTTTGTTGATCAACTAGCCGATAGGATACATGCGATCATAAATGGCCAGAAACTTCTTGAAGGAAGAAACAGCCAGTACTCCATTCGAGCGGGCAGGGACGTTAGGTGAACTGAGGAGGCGACATGCGAGTGCGAGTTGCTCGCGAACAGAGCAAACTAAAAGGGTAATGAGAATGAAATCGCGCCCATGCGATGCGCGCACATTCTCTGAAATGAAATGACGTACTTCCATTCGAAATAATATGCTGCGTGCCTAACATGCACTGGCCTTTGAAGCGAAGTACTTATGTAAGTTCCCAAGGAACTCCGTCAGCAAAAGTCACAGGGTGTGATTTATTAAGTAATGCCATGCTCAAGAATCTCCTACATAACCATCATTCTCCCGTTAGACGCCATCACGCGCTATTGATAGTGCAGTGCACGCTTCTCCTAATTGGAGGCGATAAGTCGGCAATACAATCCCAAAGTGTTGTCGGTTCGCGAGCGCTAAGAGCATCGCGCGCACCCAAACATCTCAGCGGACAGCTTTATAGAATAACTTACATAAGAAAGAACAGAATAAGAAAGGCGAACTACCATTAGGAACGAGGTTAACATGAGATACGGGTAATTCCCCAGAGATCGTCCGAGTACCGCAAAGTCCAACCACCATAAACTGAACGACTGAGCAATAGAAGCCAAAGAGAGAACAATGCTCAGATAGCGAGACTACCGGTAGGTCCGACTGGTTGGTGTCCCACCCAGCGTATGGTATGGAGGCGCTCAGACATATCTGGCGAACTTGCCTAACGCCGAGTTGGGGCGTGTGAGAGCAAAGCAAAAAATTCTGCCAATGTCATCTGAGTATGGAAAAAAGAATCGTAAGCTGGTGCCAAAGGAAAAGGACTGAGGGGTTCGAACAACTCGACTGGTGCCGGACGGGATCCACGTGTGCGATTTTAACTAGAAGACCAACGAAAGCAAGAGCATGCATGTGTATAACTCCACAAATGACGAGAGACGTCGGCGATCGAGAGTCGACGATTGTTAGCGAGCAGACTCTGGACATCCGATGATGGACAGGGTGAATCCATGGCCGGATAGTGCGACGTACGGCAATGGTCCGATTCGGTTGTGATCGTTTGTCCAGCGGATAGAAAACTAACATGGCTACCTTGACGAGCACACTGCCACGCCATCAGGGGTTCAGTGTTTCCTCCCTCGGCTTTTCCCTTTAATATTATTATTTTTTTTTATTTTTTTTTTTGGTGGAACCCCATTAGCTTTCGCGATACATAACATGTATTTGGGGTTTGTGCAGGGAGGTAGAATCCCATGGAGTGTGGAGTGGTTTGAATGCCGGTTTGCCACCACGGGGAAATGCATTACGCACTGGCCGGTTTGGCGCTGTGTGGGGCTCCCGGACTCGGTCACGGAGGGTCCGGTATACCCACTAAAACCCCGGTGCTGTTCAGCCAGTTATCCGGCAGTCTCCCTTCCTCGTGAAGGTTTCCGCTCCAGGTATGCAGGACTAGTTTGGTCGGCAGGGCCTTTCGGCCGTACGTTTTCCGGTTTGTTAGGGCGATGTCTTGTTGGAGTTTATCGTTGAGGCCGGCGCGGAGGGCGTTTTTTATTTCGGTTAGTGTGGTTTGTGGGTGGTCAGGGTTGATGACTCTCCGGCATCTGGCCTTCCAGATTTGCCACGCGCATTCTAGCATTACAATACGGTACAGTCTTGTTTCGCCTTTTCGAAGGTTACCGTTAGTGTTGGATGGATGGATGGATGGATGGATGGATTCATTTTAGAGTGCCTATCGGCATATGCCGTACTATAGTGACTCGGGTGAAAAAAGTGTGGAGAACATAAGGATGTGAAGAAGGAATTTGTTTGACCTAGGAAGTATGAGACATCGAGTAATCAATGGTGTGAAGGAGAATAAAGTGAGATGAAGCAATAACACATAAAGGAGCATGCGACCCCTGCACTGAGATTGAACAACGGGTGAGGGAGAATGGAGGTGGAAAGAGATTGGATAGAGAAAAGGACACGCGACCCCCAGTGTTGGGGTCGCATGTTTTGCTGCTGTGTGCCTATGGTTAAGTCAATGGTTGAGTGCGCGGTTCTTGCGGGTGGGTGAGTTGGAGGGTGCTTTCACGGGTTTATGTCATGGTAGGCTGGTGAATGTTCCAGTGGCAGCAAAAGGCGATGGGTGTTGGTGGCATCTTGCTCATGCTTGTTGAATAAAGGCATGTGGCAGATAGGCCTTTGGTAGAAGGGGTAGTGGAGAGAAATGAAAGTGTTGGGGTGACGGCAGGACTTGAACCTGCATTCCTTGCAGTCAACTTTTTGTCAGCATATGGGGCTATCGTTGGCGCTACCACTATCGCACCTCATCACGAAGAGGTAGTGGAGAGAAAGATGAATCGGAAGGGTGTTGGGGTGATGGCAGGACTTGAACCTGCACTCCTCCGGCCTGCCCATGGACTTATGGAGGCTACCATTGGCGCTACCACGATTGCACCTCACCATCCCAAAAGGTAGTGGAGAAGAGAAAAAGAAGGAAGGGTTGGGGTGACGGTGGGACTTGAACCCACAGTCCTCTGGCCAGTCCCGTCTGGGCTTACGGAGGTCACCATTGGCATTGCCACTATCGCGCTCGTCATCCAAAAAGGTAGTGGTAAGAAGAAAAAGGAAGGGTTGGCTTGACGGCGGGACATGCACCTGCGCTCTTGCATCTCTCCAGCCAGTGTGGCTCTGGGCTTATGGGGTTGCGGTTGATTGGCATTACCATGGTGGCCACGTCATCCTCCCTTCAGATGTAAGAGGCCTAATTAGTTTTAAACAGGGGCACCGTGTGAAGGTTTAGGCCTGTGCCGGGTGTTCGCTGTGGTAGCAGAACTCCCCCTCGACTGACATCCATCGTCGAGGCCCTACCGTTAGTGTTCTTTATTTTAGTTATCGGGGCGGCCATCACATGTGAGGTGTCTAAGGTTGGGGCCATGTGATTTTCCTTTGGTCACACATTGCCTTGGCTGTAGCCCATGCCCATTCTCCGTGGTTGAGGGGGCACTCGAATAAGATATGAGCCATCGATTCTATTTGTTGGCATTGGTCACACTCTCCCCGGTGTTCAAAGCCTGGGATTTTCTTCCAGTATTCGCCGATTTTGAGCTGTGGGTCAGCTTCCAGAGGAAGTTCCGGATCTCAGGTGAGGTTTCCTTGCGGTTCTTCGCTATGGTTTCCCATATTTTGTCTTGTGTGGGGGGGTCATTACTTAGGCTTGCCAGAGTCGATTGGATTCTGGTGATGTTATTGGCTGTTGTTGTTCTTTGATCGGGTATTTTGGCTAATCTGGATCTGCAGATTAGTTTGGTCACTGTGGATTGGTTTAGGGCGCGTAGGCGGGCTCCGCTTGGTATGTGGGGGGGGAGGTTATACAGGTGGGAGGTGTTCTGGGGCTAATTGTGCCCCTATTGCGGCGAGGTTGTCCGCTTCTTCATTTCCGCGGATCCCAGTGTGGCCTTTAAGCCATTCGAATGAGGTGGGGGTGAGTCTACTTCTCAGGGCGCTTACAGTCAATTTAATAAAGTAGCTGTTCTTTGCATAGGCGTAGTCCGAGTCTTCGAGGGTTTCGAGGTTATTGCAGAGGGAGTTGATGCACCATTTTGAGTCGGATTTGATATGGAGGTTGGATGATGGCAGTATGGAGGTGGTGGCATGATGTATGGCAAGTATTTCGGCTATGTTATTGGATTGTGAGTAGCGGGGATTGACTCTTTTGCTGGTGTTCCAGGGATCATTCGGGCCATACCATACACCAAAGCCGGCTGTGGCGTATGTCTCACCATTTTGGGAGCAGGACCCGTCCGTGAATGCCACTTCGTTGTGAGGCTGTTGTGGTCAGGGAGTGGGGTTATTCGGGATAACCGGGGGGGTTCTGCCAAATATTCTGTAGTGGTGGTCGAGCGGGGTGTGGAGTGGGGATGGGGAGAAGATTTTGATGTCTTTTGGGTCCCTGATGGCGTATTGTTTTGCAGTTTCTTCAGGGGGGTGGTCCGGTTGGGAGAGGAGGTGTGAGTCGCTGTAGGGGTTATAGTGGTAGTCAAGGTTGGTGGTTATCTTTATCGCTGTTTGGTAACAGGCTTCTGGGTTTCTGCACCCGGCTTGTCTGTAGGTTGCGCACGGGGGCAGGAACACTTTTTTTTTGTGGGGTTGTGGATTGGGTTTTCTTGGTGGCCGACTTGGGTGATTAGGTCGCCGATACGTGTACACCCATGAGTCGCTCTTAGGCACGATGTAGTTTTCGAGCGGTCATTGATTCGAAGGTTGTCTCCTAGGCCAGGGTGGGCCCAGGCTGGTCGATTGAGCTTGGTGTCCAGGTCGATTGTTGGGTTTTCTAGTCTGAGGTTATACTTGGTTCCGACGTTTAGGGTGTTGCGGAGTTCAGCTGGGATTTTCCTGGAGTGGGACCGGGCGTTAAGGAAGGGTTTTTGGGTGAGGATGTCTGTGATGAAGGGGTATGCTGGGTCCTGGGGCAGTTGGTTTTTTGGGAGGGTGGCTATTAGGATTGCTTCGGCAGTGTCTGAGGCCAGGGGCCTATTGGGGGTTTTGTCGAGGATTTTTTGGAGTTTGATGAGGTGGATTGCCTCGTTCCTATCTTGTAAGTTCAAGACATTTTTGCCGCCTTGGGTTTTTGGTTTGTTCAGTTGATTCATGCTGATTGGGGGGGGGGGGCTTTCGGAGTTCCATATAAACTCTTGTATTCTTTTGTTTAGGTGTTTTTCAACGTTTTTCGGCATTCCCTGGGCACGAGTATGGAATTGTGTCATTCCACCAATGGTCATTTGGATGATCAGGCGCCTGCCCTCAATGGATGGGTGGGTTTTATTCCATTGGGTGGGTGGTTTTTTGTCAGGGCTCACCCGCCTGACCCGGCTCCACCCGGCCCAACCTGACCCGGTACCCCGCCGGTCCACCCCTCCTTACCTCCTCCCCCTTTCCCTTCTTCCCCCTCATCCTCCCCTCCTCAGTTTCTCCTTATCTTACTTCTCCTTTATTCTCTCTTTATTCTACACGGACGACTTTCTCTGTATCAATGTACAACTGACCCATCTGCAGCGCGCCCACCATGTACCCGGCCCGGGCACCTCGGGCGACTTCCCGCTGTGCCCAGCACGCGCGCCTGCACCGGATACCCTCGGGATCTCCCACGGAGACACCCGGGTGGTTACGGCTGTGTGCGAGGGTGACGTGGCACCCGTCATGTGATCCAAGCCGCATGTATATAAACGAACCTGAAGTGGGAACCGAAGAAGTAGCCTTCTTCTCAACTTTCCACTTCAGGTAAGTAGTACAATATTTCTCCTTTAATAATAATAACAACTTTCCACTTCAGTCTAAGTGGCCAGGGACCGCTGTCCCACATCGGGCCTGTCAGTACGCACGCCCGATCCGCCCCCCGCCAGGCTCTCGGTCCCGGACGTTATACCCGGACCCCCTCGACCCCGGACGAGTCCCTGACATTTTTCTACGTTCGTTATGATTGAGGGCCAGGGGTTGTTATGGTCAAGTTTGTTCCCGCATTGGGCCCCTAGGTATCTCATTGTTTGACCATCTTTTAGAATGGTTATTGACTCATCTATGCTTTCGTTACCACAGGGGTTAAGGGTTCTTTCGTTATGGACTCTTTCGCGGAATTCTGGTGAGCCGACTGGGAGGATGACGGTTTTTTCTTGGTTGAACTTTGCACCGGATGCGATGCACCAGCGGTTTAGTGTTGAGAATAGGTCGTGTAGGTCATCGTCTTTGGAGAGGAAGACAGCGGCGTCATCGGCGAAGAGGGATACAATTACTCTTTGTGAGAGGGAGGGGGTATTGATCTCTAGGCCTTTAAGGGAGGGGGATTCTCTGAGGGTGATTGCTAGTGGTTCTATAGCGAAGTTAAAGAGGAGGCAGGATAGGGGGTCGCCTTGGCGGACCCCTCTTGTTATCGGGAATTCTTTGCTGATTACGCTGTTGAGGATCACTTTTGTTTTAGCTTTAGAGTAGAGACTTTTGATTGTTAATGTAAGTTTGGGTGGGATTCCCATGGTTTCCATGACCTTCCAAAGGTAGTTGTGTCGGATGCGGTCATATGCTTTCTCCTGGTCAAAGGCAATAATCGCTCCATCCTGGCCAGTCAGTTCGCATAGGTCAGTCATGCGGTTGACGAGGTCGATCTGGTCAAAGATGCTGCGGTTTTTGATGAAGGCTGCTTGGCATTTATGGATAAGGAGGGGGGCTATGGGGGATAGTTTATTCATGATGGCTGTCGTGATTATTTTGTATTCTGCGTTTAGTACGGTTATGGGTCTATAGTTCTCAATTTCTCTTTTATCTTTTTTCTTGTAGATGGGGCAGAGCCACCCCTCTGAGATGAGAGGGCACGTAGTGCTGTTCTTTTCAATGTCATTTGCTAGGTGAGTAAGGAGTTTTACCACATTAAAGCCTTGGTTTTCATTTTTACGTTTCTTCCATCTGGTGTTTAGGTTCTTGTATAGCTCAGTGGGTATGCCGTTGAGGCCGTTGGGTGACTGGTTTAGGGCCTTTTCTATATCCGTGAGGTTTAGTGGGGTGGCCAAATCAGTGTGGGCTTCCGGTGGAACTAGGTTCCGGATTGCGTTGAGAGAGTCTCTGATGTGGTTGTCTCTCTCTTCTTGGTGGGCAGATAGGTCTCGGTGTTGGACTGCGTTGTAGTGGTTGGCTGCTATGTCTGACATCTCTTCTGAG